CACTGGGACCAAAATCTGATATTCGGCCAATAGGTCGAGGTCCGCTAGGAACATTGCAAAGAGCGCGATAATAATCGGGACTAATTGCGGTCTCTGGATTCAGAGTCCCTAAAAGGGCACCAGCGGTATCGGGGGTTTCGAGAACGCTCTCGCCATCAGTTGATTCTGCCTTGCAGTCGGATTCTTCAGGTTCACTATTAGGAAGGGATATATTAGCACATGTTTTCACGGTTTGCCATTCGGGCCGACATGTCCGCCATCTACAAAGAAACCTGAACACTTACACAAAACAAGGCTCGTGCTCATCCTGTTTCCAAGTAGTAGTCTCAGCATAGATGTTTCCACCTGCTAGCTCCTCTGACTGATCCCGCTCCCAATCTCCTCGCTTCTGCCCACCAAGTCTACTAGGAAGTCCATATCCACCCCCGCAAACTCCTGGATACCTCTCCTCGAGTGCGCGGTCTAATTTGGCATTCCGGGTAGATGGATCTTCGTAAGATACGCCGGCGGCGTCAAAAACACTTGTTGTATTGGCGGGCGCCGTATCCTCCAGCGTTGGCTCCACAGAGGCGATTCGAGTGATGGTAGCACCAGCAGGTGGCGTGCTCTCCTGTTTTGGAGCTTCCGGGATGGCGCTAGCGGTGTTGAGGATGGAAGGAATGCTCTCACTGTCCACCAAATTCTCCTCGGACTCTTCACTGCTGTGCGGATTAATTAGCATAATTTCTATTATCCGGGCTCGCTAGTATCGCATTGCCAGCCACGCCCCGGGGCTAGAATGACGAATTATTTTGGGAAAGCGGCCTGGGTACTTACTTAAAACAAACTTGGATCTCCGCATCCCCGACAGGAGTGGTAGCCAAGAGATTTCCACCTGCGGGCTCCTTCGACTTAGCCTGCTCCTGGCCCCCGAGTCTCTCCCCACCAGATGTGGTGGTGGGCTTGCGGACTCTCACAGAGACATGAGCGTGCTTCCTGTGCCGGCCCAATGCACCGGCCGACTGAGCAGATAAGACCCTGGAAATAGCGACAATTTGCTTGGTTGTTGGCACCGCTACCGCGCCAGAAGCCCCGATAAATATACCAGGATTTTTAACAATTGAAATTAGGTCCTCAAGATTTTCCCTCTCTGACCTTTTACTGTTGCTCATACACTTATTAGCATACATCATCACCGTATGTGATTTATACCGTCATATCAAGTCTTTGGGAGGGAGACAAGGTATTTACCTAAACCGATTTTGGAGCTTTCTTATCTCCTTGATATAGGCGGGGTCAATAATTTCACCCGCCGACTTCTTCTTTTTCAGCATTTGCTTCGCCCAATCCAGGGAACCAGGAATGGCGACAGGGGTGGGTGGTTCTACTAAAGGCTCCTGCAGCTCGTCAGGTGGAGGAGGATCTTCGGCCCAACCATTGGCCACTATCCTTTCCCGAATGTAGGTGACCAGGGTTCCCAGAACCCCCATCACCCATAGATAAAAGCTGATCAGTCGAAAGCCAGGCCACATGTTAAGAGAGTGATAGTGAGTAAAGTTGAAACGAGATGGATGAGTTGTGAAAAATGAATAACAAGGTGGTTTTGTGTGTGGAGAAGAAATGGGAGTTGTTGTTGTATTGGTTCTAGCTAAGAAAAAATAATTAAATAGACATACAAGTCTCTTCATAGCCCTAGTACCATAGTATGTTCAACCGCAATCATAGTATGTTCAACTACAATCATAGTATGTTCAACCACAATTAAACATATACCCTAATCATTTACTTTACCCTCTGTCGTAAACCACATCAGTCTAACAACTAGTTATCATACTCAAACCAAACCTATGCACAAATAATATTGGCTGGTAAGTTAAAGAAGACTTATAAGAGCGTAGACTATTCACAACACTTTCCCTCGCTGAGCAAGTCATATACAATCAGAGAATCTTTGATGTATTTGTTTAGATACAAGTTTAATAAGAAGATCCACCAGACTATCCTCCAAAGAAACATGTACTACTAAATTGTAGTCACCAGCTTCATAGTGTTCGCATATAAAGTAGTGTTGAATGTCAACATGTTTTGAGTATTTATGAATACATGGATTACATATAAGTTATTCGGCTTCTGCATTGTCTGTCTGTGGCAGGTTGTTGACTTTCTTAATTTACAGTTCTTTGGGCCCCATTTGTATCCAGACACATTGTTTGACAGTAAGACAAAGTGCTATGCATTTAGCCTCAGTAGCAGTAGAGAGTATCACAGGTTTTCGTTTCTGAGCTTTCCACGTGATTGAAGCTGTACCAGTTCAAAAAATATAGCTAGAGAAGGACTCTTAGTCTTCAGGGTTGAGGTTGTTTTGTTTTATATATATTAGGTACAAATACTTAGTTCCTTTAATATACTGAAATACATGTTTAAGTGTGGTAAAGTGAACAGAGCTTGAACGTTAAGATAATTGTAAGAGAAGTGCAACTGTATAGGACAAATCAGGTCAGGTATGATACCACACTATACTGTATAATGTTCCGCTCCTGTAAGCTTTAGATACTTTTTAAGCTCAATAGTATGGATGTTTGAAGTGCTACGGTCAATGTCAAATAGAAAAGGAACTAAATCTAGTAAAAGTGGAGAAGCAATATTCAAGGTAGATATTGTAACTGAGACTTAGAAATTTTTTGAAATATAATACCTGATTGTATAGGCCAATTGAGGCCTAAAAACCTATTAGAAGAGTAATAGGAAGTAAGGTTGTAGTGGAATGGCTGACTAGTAAAAAATGAACAAATTATTTACAATACCTTATTCCAAACTTCATCCAATCCTCAATCAATATCCTAAACAAATGCTAACTTCTAACTTCTAGCTTGTAAAAATAATTGCCAGAATTGCTAGTATCAGAATAATTACTCCATGTGAGGGTAATGCTAATAGCAGAGTTCTTAACAATTAAACTACTACTGTCTTCATGTCTCTCATGTGCCTACACTATCTTGACAAAACCTGGCTAATAACAATAGCTCCTCATTCCTAATACAATAGCAAGGGCAATTTGTGCCTCAATACTACTGATAGGTAGACAAGTAGGAGGAGGGTATACAGATGTAGTTATTGACTCCAAATACAAGCTAATTGCGAAAGGGAGAGTCAGTGGGTTTAAGCAAGTAGTTATTACATAGGTCTATAAACACTATTATCAGGATGGAGAAAACATATACGAAAATGGTCTACAGTTTACTGAATACCTGACTATCTTAATAGTATAGTTAGATACTATGAAAGTCTACATCTTTGAAAAATATAACTGAGAATCCAAATATTAGACTTCTGGGATGTAAGAAGTATTAGCTATTTCTAAAATATACTGTACACCTGAGAGTACCAACAAAACCTCCAAACTACTAGACCACTACTTGTACTACTACTCATGTAGAATTTAACTAGAATTTAACTTAAAGGAAGCACAATATACTCACAAATACATGCTTCAATAGGGGAGAATTTCCAACTTGAACAGAATAGACAGTAGAGTCTAATAGTTTAGTAGGCCTTTAAAGGATGCACTTATCTACTTAAATTGTACCAGGTATACTATTAAGCTTTGACAATACATAAAGGCATGAGGAATAGAACTGGAGGTTGGGTAGTATGTATAAACTACATGGTTCTTTTTCTTGCTAGAGATAGTACTTACATCTTTGAAAATATGGATAATAAGATAAATGGAGGAGGGAAGGAAATGAATTGGGGGAAAGAAAGAAAAGAAGAGTAAAGTAAATGAGGATAAAGTAGAAAGAAATGAGAGTGTAATAAGAAATAGGAGAGTAGTGGTGCTGGTATTCAGAAATGACGAAGTATGGTAGGAAGGAAAGTTAGATGTAATGTAATTTAGTAGTAGGTTGAGTGATAGAGAGATTTAGGAGAAGGAGAGGGTATGGGTGTTCAGGAAATGATAAGGGATAATACAAAGAGAATTTAAATGTAAATTAAATTGGTATGATAGTGGGTTAAATGGTGGGGGTATTGAGGAGGAGGATAAGATAATTAAGGGTGGTAGCAGCGAGCTATAATAAAGGAGGAGAACTTACAACAGCCACCCCCCCCCACAGAGTGCGAGTGGATTTTCCAACCAACAGTCGTATTCCCTTCAGGGTGTCAAAATATCAAGGCCATTAAGCCTAAAGTCAAAGCTGAAAAGCAATGCCCAAGTAGCATTCCTACCAACAAGCACCAACACACAAAGATAAACCTATCACACCTTATGCGATACTGTGAATCTCCCATAGCCTCTTAGCCTACCTGTGGTTCACTCTCCACATGGGAGAAACAAAAAAAGAAAGAAAGAAAACGGTGATATATCACACTGGATAGTACGGAGCACCCGACCCACTATGAAATGGTGTCGTCCCTCTGTTACGCCTTGAGCCAAGCTCGAGAACCGCTACAAAATCCAATCCCCCCATGGAATCATGTGATATCACTCGTTGATTTCCCCCGCCCAAACCGTTAGCTTAGGTAACCCTATGGTACGGCGCTGTGCCACCGGATTCCCCCAGATAAAAGCAGTCTCAGGGCCAGAGTTCCTGTCGAATTATCCGGTTGTAACGGTAAAGGGTGGGAGATGGCGTAGGGCGATCGGGGTGACCGGGAGGGGGGGGTTAGAACTTTGACCTTGGCAAACACGGCCTACTTGTAGGTTATGTGGAGAGAGAGCTATGCACTGGGTCCCTGGAGAGAAGCGACTTGTCACTGGTGAGCCAAAAATTTGGGGCAAAAGGTTCCTCTGTGCTGTATGATACACTCCAGCAGGAATCTGCTGTTCTGAATTGGTTCTTTACAAGACAGCGTTCACGCAAAAACTTAGATCAAGGGATAAAGTCACCCGACATCCAGGGCCAGGTATGATACTAGATATTTTTACAAATTCTCACTTGGAACATTAAACGTCTCGATTAGCCAACATGGGACGCTTTTCCTCCCCTCTCTCCTCAAACACACCAAGCTCCATTGACTATTTTCTAGACCGAATACATCAAAGTTCCATACCCCAATTGATCATACCCACCACTGGTCGGGCCATAATCTCCACCACCCCCCTCCGCCCCGCCTCCAGCAGCCCTAACCTTCTCGGCGTACAGTTTAGTGTACGTGACGTTCTCTCCCATGACCTTGCCATAGCGGTTATACAAGAGCTCCCAGATCGGCTTCACGCCGCCCCTACTATTATTACTAATCTCGCTCTGATTAACCCAGCTATTGACGTACGTCGTGTACGGAACATCGTACCCGAGGTTGAACTTTGCAACGTATTCTGACCCCTTAAGGATGCGGTTGTCGAGATACGAAAATAGATCAACGCCCTGATTGCTCGCCATCTGCGCAAAGATTCCGAGCATACCGACAACGAACATGGTATGTCCCTGATCTCGTCCCGACTCCTGCAGTTGACCCAAGTCCTGCCCGTCAATATCGGGGTAGATCTTCCAAATAGCCTTGGTGATAGCGCCATTTCCACTACCGTTGTAAAAGTAGTGGATCGCCTCATCGAACATGATCTTATTATCAGTCACAACGCCGATCGCAAGGATGTTATTGAGGTTGCAAAGATCCCAGTTTGCCCAGTAATGGTCTACCTTGGCATCATTGTGATTGACCAGGAAATGGTGGCTCATGGGATAGAATATGTTGACGAGCATCTCCTTCGCAGCTGCGAACCCCGTCCAGGCAGGGTAGTCGCGGAGTATCTCGACAATGTTGGCAATCTGGTACCCGTAGATCCCCGACGCGAGGAACCTGTCACCGGAACCTCCGACCATTTTCAGCGTGCTCGACCACGCATCAATGATGGCGGCGCTCGCATTGGCGTACTGCACGTCGTTGGTGGCCTTCCAGCGCAGCGCCAGAGCGTACCCTGCGGCTATGTCATTGTAGAGCCTTTGGTAGTTCTGACCCTTGGGGTTGACGCCCCTGTAAACCTCCGGCACCGGCGATGCGACCCAGCTGGGTTGAGCGTGTCGGTTTGCGACGAGTTTTTGGTAGCCGGCGTACCAAGGGTTGGTCTTCGCTTCGACTTTTGAGGCTACACGGGTGAAGTCTTCTGCCGTGTGGAGGAGGCCTGGGTGCACGAAGGCTGTGGCTAGAGTGGAGAAAGCGGAGGCGTATAAAAGGAGTAAAGACCGCATTGCAAATGGTACGTGCGATTCCGAGCGAATCTCTAGGGAAAGAACATTCAAGTAAAGGCACCGGGCGCTTTTATGTTCTCCTATTCCAATGCCCTTGATGGTTTAGATATACTTAATAGCGACGAACCACAGTTGCACGTGCAACTTCCTTTTCTCCGCAAGAAAGACAGCCCTGGTATAGTTTTATTCCAGGACCCTTTCCACACCAGCCCAGGGACCCACCACACGGGATTCGCTAGCCAGCGGAAAAAAATCCCAAGTATGATACCGCACAAGCGAGATTTAATTCCATCGTGCGCACTACTCCTGGGCAGATATACCAAGAGAAACATCGGTGTATACTCCTATCAGGTTCTGCTAAAGTGTTTCGCGTCCCCTGGGAACCCGAATAATCCGCACCCGCTCTAGGACGTTGGATTTGCCTTTACTGGTAAGGTCCTTGTTTTTTGGGGGGCGAAGCGTTTTCAACCCTATCCAAGAGAGGGAACTTTGGACGCCTTGGCGCGATTGCCAATTATCCGAGTTCTTACGGTAGTTGGAAAACCGGATAGAGTAATGATAGTGACAAATTATGGCACTGTAGTTCAAACCCATGCAAGGTATTAGGATGACAAAAATTAGGCCATTGGTCTGACGTAGGAAGGTTTGAGATTTGTCTTGGGGGGGACAGTGAGCCGTTCTTAGCTGTTCACCTTCCTATAATGCTATCATAATAATATTATGATATTATTATCATACAGTACATTAAGGGAATTTAGCGGGTACGGGGCACGGTTCGCTAAGGGAATGAAACTTGAATACTTCCGTAGCCCTAGCCTAATTTTGCTCCTGGGAATCATTTAAGGCGCGTCTGGTTGTTCAGGGATGATATTAACAGACGTGACTTGCAGCTGGCAACTACAATAATCGCAAGTTATATAATTGGCCCTTTTCAACTTCTAAGTGTGTGTAGCCGCCAAGACAATCAATTATAGGCCACTCAAAAAACTAGCACAATTATTATGAGAGGCCCGTAGTTGTACCGGCTGCCGGTAGTGGGTTGTTATAACCCATACACACCATTCCAAAATGAGAGTTTGTGAAATACTGGTCGGATCAGTATTTCACAAACCTTCATTTTCGCTCCATTATTGCATGGGGATATAATACGACGGAATTTCCAAAGTTTCCCCTAATCATCACTACTTGATGTTTCGTCTCTACCATGAGATCCGAGGGATCGATACCCGTTATGATCTAGATAAGTAAAATATGCTAATCCCAGTTAGCCCCCTAACAAAATCTTTACCCGCTCTTTCTTCCCTCACAGCTCTCTCGAAACCCAATGTTTTATTATTATTCCATTTATTTTTGGTGACCACGCTAGGATTTGGGCTTTATATTCCACATTAAAAATCTACGATACCCCACTAGATTTTGTTTCTTTCTAGGAGGTGTTCAAGGACGAGACACTTTCTAATATCATAGGAGGGTGCAATACGGTATGATGTGCAACCCCCTAACCTAGGCGGGAAGGGGCGATCTTCGGGTATCCTCCCTACATTCTCCACCCGTACAAGTAGACCCCTCCGGTCAATACTCCGCCAATAATATTACTACCGCACCCGCACCTATCCCGAAACACACACATTTTACTCTCGAAAGGGGTAGTTTACAATACGAGTAGTCGAGCAGATTAGCGCACACTATTTATTTTGCCTTCTTTCAAAAGAAAAAGAAAAAGATTCTTTGATCTGAAGGTCTACCTGTGACGAGGAAAACAAAGCTGAAGGGTCCCTCACGGAGGTGGTTCGATGAGAAAGACCGTTCTGAAGGTCTTTATGGAACAGGGGGAAAGAGATGTGAGATCTGGCACTTGGTGCCAAGTCCAGGGTCGGGTATGCCTTCAGATGTGGCAATTCAGGAGCGGCGGGTGACAAGGTATCAGAAATTCCGATGGAAGATGGCTTGGTACCTTTGGTTGGGTGCACAAAACCACTAAGGGTATTCAAAGTTAAAATTATGAATTTTGAAGTGAAAGTAAGGAGTGGATCTTGCATTAGGATACTTCACAGAGCTAGCCAATAACCGTGCCAAGGTTCCCGTCCCTTTGAATGACGCTAAGCGACCTTCGGTTTGATGGCACTCCTATGGAGTGCCCCACGGCTCAACGAAAATAACAGCTCAACAAAAACATCTCCACCTCATCCAAGTCATTTTTGACAAATAGGTCTTTTTTTTCCACCCCCAAGCCCACCATGCCTCCAGAACCATTTTTCAAGATAGAAGTACATATTCAACAAGCGATCAAAAGGCTTAATAGCGAATCAAAGCCAAACATAGTCGCCATTGCTCGGGAATTCAATGTACCCTCCCAACACCTTCGTGCCCGCTGGAATGGCCGGCAATCCCGACAAGAGCGACCTGCATCTAACAGGAAACTTACTGAAGCCCAAGATCAAGTACTCTGCCAGTATGTTGATCAGTTGGACAAGATTGGAGTACCTCCTCGCTATCACCATATCAGCAGATACACCAATTCGATACTTTTGAGATCCCATAATGATACTCAAATAGCTGCTCCGATTGTGAGTGAGATGTGGGCACGGAGGTTTCTTGATAGACATCAGGAATACTGTCTAAGAAAACAGAAGAGCTTAGATATTAATCGTAAACGCTCTCATCAAATTGATAACCTCCATGACTGGTTTCAGCGGTATAATACCATAGTTGAAAAAAAATGTTATAGTGGCAAGCGACATCTACAATTTCAACAAGATGGGGTTTCGCATCAGGTCAGAAGGGACCAATGGGTGGTCACTCGAGAGGCTTCGCGTCCGATATATTTAGCAAGTTCAAGCAATCAAGAACTTATTATAGTTATAGAAACTGTGAGTAGTGATGGTATTGTACTTCCGCCTATGATTATTGTACCGGGTACTCTTCACATGGAAGATTGCTATATGGAGACTGAGATCCCAGATGATTTCCTTGTTGGGGTTTCCAAGTCAAGCTACTCAAATGATATGCGGGCTTTGGATTGGATTCATCACTTTGAAGAGTTTTCCTCCCATCGTCATGTAGGAGCATGGAGATTACTGCTCCTTGACGGTCACAACTCGCACTGTACACAGGAGTTTATAGAATTTTGTGATGAGCACAAGATTTTATTGTTTTGCTTTCCCTCCTACTGTACCCACATTCTCCAACCCTTAGATGTGGTAGTCTTTCAACCTTACAAACACTATCACTCTGAAGCAGTAGATATGGCGACGAGGATGGGCTGTACAGAGTTTGACAAGATTGAATTTTTAAATGCACTTCGGTCTATTCGCTCTCTTACCTTTAAATCCACTACTATCGTTTCGGCCTTTAAAAAAACTGGGCTTATTCTATTTAATCTGGAGGCAGTACTGAATAACCTCGTTGAGCATGACATTGAAACATCTGAAGTACCATCAACACCACTACCACCTGAAGTCCAAAGTCTTCCTTCTACTCCCCAGACTGTCCGCATGCTTAAAAGATAAGCTGATATGCTTGAAGTACAATTTGCACACCTTTCACTATCCACGAACCAGGTACTGCGGGGGTTTATCAAGGGAAGTCTGATACAAGCCCAATGGGGTGCACAAGCATTTGAGGACCTCGAGAATACTAAAGCAGCAGAACTGGCACAGGCTACTCAACATAAGTGCAGTCGATGGTTTGTTCAGAATGGTGGTTCGATGTATGCCCATCAGGCCCGATCAATGGTTTGACAAAAACAACAGGCTTCTCTCACGAAGCAGGTAGAGCAGGCTTAACGATCACTCGAAATTGTCACCAAAGCAGCAGAAAACAAGGTTAAAAAGCAATGGAAGGAAATCTCAAAGCAGATGAGAAAGGCGGTAAAAGAGAGAAATAAGAAGCAAAAGCTTGTAAAGCTTTTATTTCGTGGGATTGGGCATTCAATTGTAAATGTTTCTACTATAGTATAATGGATTTTTCGTTGAGCTATTATTTTTATTGAGCTGTGGGGTACTCCATAGGAGTGCCATCAAACTTTGAAGGTCGCTTAGCATCATTCAAAGGGATGGGAACCTTGGCATGGTTAGTGTTTATTGGCAGTGGGTAAAAGGTTTGATTTCCCCATGATAAGAGAATTTGGTAATTGCTAGAATTAGACAAATTAGCATAAATTAGAATATATAATTTACGTCATAGAATACAAATATATTATAAGCGAAAGGTAATGCCAGTGTAATAGGGAGCATCGCAACTTCAATCTCCATCATCCAAGCGAAAACATGTCACACAACACTACTGACTATGCAATTTGGACAAGCAAAGAGACAGAACAGTTGATAGGATGGTTAGAAGAGCCAGAAAACTTACGGAAAATAAGGAAGGGGTCTGGAGTTACTAAGAAGCAGGTTATCAGTGAGATTGCAGCACGGATTCCAACAAAGCCGGTCGTGAAAGTTGGGTACAAGTACAACAACCTTCTAAAAGCCTAACAAGAGGCTGTGAAGCTGAATAGTCAATCAGGATTGGGATTGAGTAAGGTTGATTTAAATGAGGGGAAAAGGTAATTACGAGGTATGTAAACTATTTTATTATTATTAATAATAAAAAGAATCTATAATGGTAAATGAATTAAAGATTAAAAAAAAAATGATAATAATATTAAATGAAAACAAGAAAACAAGAAACAATTATATACAAATGGGAACAGAGAAACTCATATCACGATGTCCATATTATTTCCACCTTGAAGCAATTCTTGGTGATCGACCGAATATACGATCCGAGAAAATACAATGTCGTTGTAAGTTGTATTAATGGCAATACTTGTTGATTATAGGATTCGTTTTGAAATATGGAGTCGGAACTAACTGCTGATGCTAGGGCGGTAAATGACTCGTATGTCATTCGGAAAAAGGTCATAAACCGATCATCTGACATTGAGTATATCTATATTAAGCAAGTATTTGATATTTTATTTTCCAGAATAATTTAGCATACATGATAGTTGAATA